TATATATATATATATATATATATATATATATATATATATAGAAACAGAAAAAGGAGAAAACAAAAACTGTTAACTTGGGGAATCACAACCTTTTTGCTTATTTAGTGCGCACCATTTTGTTTGTTTTATTCCTGGGACACGCCACTGCCTTCGGTTCGTACCATATCCAGTAGTGTCTCCACACAAGAACAATCTGAATCTTCGGGGCCCCAGCCGAGGAGCTCCGACGGAAGTCAAATCCGAGCACAATCTCTTCAACCCTCTACGCCACGTCATAAGCTGCAGGAGACCCAATATATCCGGTCACAAGCATAATATTCGCATGTATTGAATGGGCTTGTGATATGAATAAACAGACGTGGAATGCCGTCAAACGGTGACGTTTGCTTATCACATATTAGTAAAGTCTTCTGCTTACACATTCGATGGTTTTCTGGGCATCTGAACACTTCGAAGTATCTGTTCAGCTGTGCAAATAATGACGATCCTCCCAGTATCACGGCAATCCAAATCAATCTAATAAAGTTTTTGTCCTCTACGGTACAAGATTAGATTGGTAAGAACCTTGTTCTACAGAGTTCGTCGCCTATGCTGTCCGGAAGTGATGGAAAATAAACAGAGAGATTTGACGATTGCCTTGTCCTCTGACGGTTATCCCCTGCCTTTTATAGAGAAATATTGCACACCTGCTATTCTCAGGTCAGCGTACACTACGGTGGAAAAGAAACCAGTTTTCATTGGTGTACCATTTAAAGGAGACGATGTAATTGCACGGGTTGTTCGTCGGCTTCGTACTACAGTTGAGTCCACCTATCCTGTCGCGAAGCTGATCATGATTCACAGAACAATGAACTCATTAATGCGGTCAAGCATAGACAGATCCAATGATTTGGTCACCTCCAATTGCACCTATCTTTTTCAATGTACTTGCGGTTCGCGGTACGTCGGAAGGACTGAACACCGACTGTCGACCAGAATAAGTGAGCATGTTCCGAACAACTTATCACTTCGAGGAGGAAAGCTTCCAGCAAGCGCAGTGGCACGACATTTGCTGGATACCGGACACTGCATCGACAAACGCAAAGCTTTCCGCGTTGTGCTTAAAGTTCGAAGCCCAAGGATGCTTAGTTTTGCTGAAGCGGTTGTCATTAACCGTTTAAAGCCTGACCTATGCGTGCAAAAGGCCTTTGTTATGCAGTTGTTATTACCATGGTAATTCCCCTCCCCTTTTCTTTCTATCATCTCAACCGTTCTCTTACATCATCGTTGACACTTCGCTCTTCTCGTTTTCTTATAACGTAACTCTCTTTGACCTACTTAATTGAGCTCGGTTAACTTTCCGAGTCTATTCGAATTCATTTTGGTTTTATCTTTTTCGTAGTACGTAACCATGTCTAACTCTCTTCCCACCATTGCTGACTGCTTTCCATTACGTAACTGTTTCTATGATAACATTCCCCTCCTCCTCTTGCACCTATTCCCAAATGACTTCTGTAATGACTCAACCACCCAGTGCCTTCTGCCTGACCCCATGTAACTGTAAATGTCCATATGTAGTATTCTTATGATAAAAATTTGACCTATTTAATGTGCGTAGACAGCTGATTGAGAACACGCGAAATTGACGGCTAATATCAATTCTGCCCATATTGTGTTACTTGTGTTGTTCAAACCAATCTAATAAAGTGATGCAAACACCTTGAATTCAAGAGTATATTTTAACGCATCTCGCTACAGTCAGACGTAAATTAGATTTGTTGTGAAAACTTCCGACCGAGTTATAACCCAGGAAGCTAGTGCGGAGACGAGGGAGGTGCGATGTCCGCAACAGGCTCGCAGGGATGGATTGTGTTAAATCGTGTAAATCGCAAGTGAAAAACAATCTGATCAGATCCCCCGTGGACGAGTGAGGAGCATGCTTACGTTCTGCCTGAGAAATCTCGGGTTCGATCCCCAGTTGGGCCGATGGATTCGCACTGCTGATGAGACCCAACCAAGTCGAAACAGTTGTATAGCGCTTCCTAGCTCTTCAGTTCACGCTTCATCTGCTCTATACACGACGAATTCACCTTTGAAATTGAATCAAATCCTCCATCATTATAGAAGTTGCAGCACGCCTACTGAAATTTCGGTTTGTGATTGTAAATTTGCAATTGCTAAAGCCGATTGGTCGCGAAGCGCGTGCTTAAGTTGTTAGGTTAAACCTTACGTATGATGCAGGAGGGTATTCATTAGAGAAAGGGGACAACAACAGACTACGGGTGCTCGAATAAGCCACATTGGTCAGTTCTGGTAAGGAAACTGGACAAGCAAAACCAGGGGTAAAAGAAGAGTATCTGATAATCGCGACCACGCAATGACGGGAGCAGCTAAGCTTTATTAATTGCGATGGCTAGAACATGTGTCACTCATGTCACCGGATAAGCTTCTTCGGTAAGCGATGCTTAGCGAGGTAGATAGTGAATAGAAAAAAGACATGGTTGGTCAGAATAACTAACATAACCAATGGTAGGAGAAACTGAGTGATACGGCTGTCGTAAACAGTAGCGCTTGTGCATCTACTCAGACCCTGAACTGACAAACCTCTCTTGCTTTTTTATCTTAATCTCGATAATACTCTTAGCTTGAAACCCCTTTAGTCATTTATCATATTGATCGACTAATAGAGCAACCATAATTAACTGTTGTTAAGACCAAGGTGAAAAAAGCCGTCCGAAATCACAAACGCTAATAAATAGATGGGTTTAACTTCTAGAGGATGCATTTAGCCCCCATTCGGGTTTCATTTTTCTACCACAAAAGAAATTTCTTTTTCAACTGATATAGCCATGCACCAAAACGTTGATTATCAATCGTTTAGATTAGGAGTAAGGTTGACTTTAAACCGGAAAATTTGTAGTTCCAGTTGCGGGAAGGACGAACAGTTTTGCCCAGTGCTCATTGGTCGGCTACTACAAAATTAACTCTTGTATTGTATTGTCTATGACTTTTACAAGCACTGAAGCTTACACGTCAATTCAAACGTTATACAAGCTAATCGTCCAAAAGAACATATTACCAGGGAGAAATATTTACAGATAGGAACATTTCACAATACACGGTTAAGGCAAAGTTCACTTGTTATCCTCTCTTTGTTTGCCGGTAACCGTTCAAGATAGGGTAAAGGTGAAGCCTTTAAACGAGATGCAATTTGGTGGAATGGAGAGTGGGTGGAGAGGTGGGAACGACAACGCGTCAGTTCTGTGTGCAACAGCGAGTCAAGATCTGTGAGAATCCTGTCCGCGAACTTCACACAGGAAGTTGTAGGATACTCTGAAATTGACACAGCTAACCCATTCACAGGAACAGAAGAAACGCGGCTAATTATAGTAAATCTGTGGCGTAAGAATTGTATTGAAGTTTGAGTAAACCAAGAAAAATAACTGGAGAACAATAAAGTACAAAAAAATTTAAAAAAAAACTGACTGGGATGCGCGATTCTACCTGAGCTTTCGAAATTGAAATGATAGACACTGCAGTTTATCAATGCAGTTGTAGATGTGGGTTGACCAATGAAGATTGTTACATACAATTACACCTAGATATTTGAAAGAGTTGAGGGAAAGCTAGAAAATTCCAACAATGTGACAGAGAGCGTGTAAGTGTAACGTAACAAATTGAAGGGCACCGTACGTTAAATTACAAATGAAGTTCAATGCTATTCAAATATGCTCACACCGAAAAAAGATACGAGAAAAATAACAAATCTACGATGCCATAACTGTGGGAAAACCTACCCCACCCCAAAGAAAGCATTATGGCCACAACTAGCGATCCGGTAGCACAAAATAGTAGAAAACAACCCGTACGGGACCCCACAAGAAGACCACTATCAGCTTTAAGGATAGGTACATTGCCACCGCGTAAAAACATTTTTGATGAGGACTCATAATTTCACTTGTTGGTTGACCTGAGTCATTTCTCCAAGCACTGAGATAAACGGCACGTCAAAAAAGATCCAAGAGAGCATCAACCCAGCAGCATATGTTGTACTTGCGATATCAAATGCGTGACCTTTTGAGTTGTCTTAAGAAGACAAGTTATTTTCCTTCCTGCATTTCTACCTCACGAGGGACGAAATGAGAGATCTATAACTTACTTGATGTCGATTACTAAACTAACCAATCGATCAATTCAAAATTGCGAACCTGTTCGGTTTAGGTGATTGGCTAAATCCGGATGTCGTTCGCTCTCCTGTTGATGACATCAGAGCGGGCACGGTTGAATACGCCGGAGATGGGGTCAGACAGACATCTGAGTCGACGGGACCCCACTTTTCGGTGGACAGCTCAAAACCTTTGATTGTCCGTGGTAAATCTGAACGGGCACTGATTGAGTTGTCAAAAGCTGGTTCGGGGCTACGTCTCCGATGAACGTTGAATGCCTCGGCTGCTGAACTGTCCAAGGTATTCAAAAGATTTTCAGCCTTGTTTGCCAATTCCGAAAACCACGACATCTGAAACGAAATCAAGAAAGGAAGTGATGAAGAAACACATCATAGCAATCCATTGTTACTGAAGTATTCCAACGGGTTCGATCAAACGTTTTTTAACCAATTTAAAATAGCCTACTAAACAGTTGACAGTAGGCTGACGCGCCAAGCAAACAAATACGATTGACAAACTACAACTCACCGCTTATCCCTCAAATGGGGTCCGTTATTGTGTCACAGAAACCAGTGATAACATAAATTAAAAATATCGCCACTGAATAAAAAAAGAGCTTTGATCAAATCTTATGCTTTTTCCTAATCGCAGTTTTTTGAAAGCTAGTTTTCGGGTAAATGTATCATAAATTCATCTAGCCATGGATCAAGTCGAACAGAGAATGTTTTATACACAATCAGAATAACCAACCTTAATAAAAGCACAAAAACGGACTCACTAGACTCGTTCAACTATGCAAACGTAAATTTGATGGGATGAATTTCAACGAGATAAAGTGACAACATTGATTCGTTGTGGTGCAACTGGTGCCGGATAAAAACGAATATGTTCCGGCCAGAACAAAGCATCTGAAATTTATTCAGTCATATTCGATACCGACTAGTCCACGGCAAAAGGTGGGTCAGAGACAGCCAACCCGGATCAATCGCAGTGCATTCGCTATCCGAATGAAGCTCCTAGTTTCAAGCCATATTCTTACCAAACTACGAAGCAGTCTTATGTTATTTGAGGAGTACCCTATAGAGATTGCACACAACAGCACCGAAATGAATGTTGCTCGGACAAGGGATAACCCGACCCAAGCTAGCAGAATTCGCCGTGATTACCCTTCTAAACAATCGGGATAATCATCAATGTACAGTGTAATACACTGAAGCGAACTTCACAAATCGCTGTCAAAGCAATGAGGACAATCTATCATTGCCCGGTTCGAGAAAAGATTTACGTGCAACAAGCCTTACATGACAACGTTGTATAGTCGTTCAAAGAGCAAATGTTGCATTTTTCAGATTATATTTGAGCCATTATCATGTTGTAAATGTGTTTCTTTATGTTGAAACGAAACATTCATTTCAGAAACCGTTCAGGTTATATTCCACAGCGCACAATATGGTGAAACAATGAAATCGTTGGATGTGCGAGTTCAAACAGATAACAGGATAGGAATGAACCATGGGAATGAGATTCATTGACCAAACATATCGGGTACCGCCGACCCGGCGTCAATTTCGATTAAGTCAACAAACAATGAACCATTCAGTCTTTGGACCAAGATTGGCAGATTACATTACCTAATTAGCTGATGCAAAAGATGCTTAGATTTAATCATTCAACTACTGTGTGACGTGCCGCTGTGTAGACAAGAGACCTACGCTCTGAAGGTTATGTAGTTCACTCCAATTTCCAAATGTTTCTGTTTCAGCTTTTACAACCATCAAATATAAACGTCCGTGCACCGGTTTTTGTCACTATCTTTTGCCTTCCCATTTGAATAAAAGACCAGAATGAAGATTAAAATGCGGAAAGCAGGTTCAAACAGAAGATAAAGAATTCGTTTAGACTAGGGTTACAATAATATTGAGTAGCAGCACGAGCATAACCGTTTGAGAAACTCAATCAGTGGGAGCGGCAGTTTTCGATGGATCCACATTAGCGGTGGCTGATGGCGATGTGCTCCATTTGAGTCCAGCGCTGGGATGAAGTTGGCGGTCTCTATTTGGGGCGATAACGTTTCTTGTGCAAGATGGTGCTTAACAGGAACACTCCGTTGTCATTCCGGTTAGCTGGGATTGCAAATAAAGCATCAAATAGCCTTTCTGGTTTGTCCATGAATCCTACTTGGGCATTGAAGTCCCCCGTCACTTCCACGATATTTGATCGAGTAGTTTGGAGCAGTTGAGAGAGTTCCTTGCAGAATTCAATCTTCATTTCTGGCGAACTGCAATCAGTCAGTGCATACACGGATACAACGAATGAGCACCGACCATTCCTTTCTTTGACCGGTAAACTGACCCTAACCGTGTTCATTTGCTGAAGTGATTTCTCCAAGGGCGGCGTGGATAACCAAAGGAAACTAGGTGTCTAAGCAGTTAGCCTTGTGAAAAATTAGCTTCGTCCGATCTCTACCTATTGACCTTTCAGGCATGATTGGATCTACGTCTGTAACGAGCCATCCTGTATAGCTCCCTGCGTCATAGAGGCACGCAAGCCATCACACCACATCAAGGTTCTGTCTCGTTGTGATGGAATTTCCAAATGAATTTCATTGGTTCCCAAAACATGAGTTCAAGCTTCGTTCACTTGCAGTATTAGGCATCGGAAGAGTGGAATCAAATTCATTCAGGTGGGAAGGATGTCATATAGGGCAGTTGTCGATAACCATACAGGATCTGTTGACAGTTTAACCGTCGAAACGCCTGTGTATGAACCGACAAAAAAACACGATAAGACGTGATTAAACTAAGTAACTGACAGTTAATTGGCACACAACATAAGCCTATCCAGCCCACATTCAGCAGACACAAATATTACAGGAAATGGCATTAGAACTCAGGCTTGTTTATTAGCGCCGTTTTGTAATGGAAGAAAGATGCAATGTACGTATGCGATCGCCAGTGTTTGCGCGATGTAAATCATTAGAATCCGTTTGTCATTGATACGTTGCGATTTGCACTGCGAATACCGGCTAGGATATCAGACATGTGATAGAAGAGAACGACGTACGGCAAGCGTATGTTGCAATAGGAATGAATTTCAAAGAAAAGGAGAAAAGAGTAGAAACATTGAAAGATTGATAGGAAAGAATCTAAATTGAGCAACTTGATGTAATGAACTATTTTGTGTTCAAATGAAAGGTTGTGTAAGACGGTTCCAGTTAAAAATCCCAGCAAAATTGAAAGAATTTAGTGATTCTATTCATAGAACAAAAAGTGCAACCACATAAGCGGACGTTCAAAATCGAGAAAAAAGACCTATTTAATTCGCAGATGAGAAAAATTGAATGAGTTCACCACTGGAACAGAATTTACTCCGATCTAAAGAGCTGAAAATTGTACTGAGTACGATTCATTCAGCTGCAATAAATTTGAACTGTGTGGAGACAAAACTGGGTTCCCGAGGACTTTGTAATCGATGGACTAGAAACAGAAGAACAAGATAGCGAAGCGAAGGCATTGGGTGACGGTTCTTTTCAGGTCAGAGTGCTTGAAAAACAGTTTGGGTATAATCAGAGCGGGTACGGCGTCGACCACGGTCGAGATGCACTTTCATTTGCCCTCGCCCAAGAAGACCTAACTTCTCTGTACCTTATGCATTCGCGTTTAGATTGCACGCCTTAAACGCATCAAGCTGCAAGCGAATGCATGATCATCTCATTGTGCGATGATCATGCATTCGCTTGCAGCTTGATGCGTTTAAGTGACCAGGGTGGGTATCCAAGTGATTGTACTAGGAACATGCGCACTGACAACTTTGCAACACCGAGCAATCACGCTTGAAATAGAAGCGTGAATCACAAGACAGAAGAAAACGATGCTTGTTCACCATGCGTATCTGCTCTCTTATGAACAGTCGGTTTGAATAGATCGACGAATTTAAACATACATAGTTCCAGGGATCCATCGATAACGAGACTCCGGTTAGAGACGCAGAAACAGATATGTTAAATAGTAACCAATATATGTTCAGTCAGTGGTCAAAACCGATGGGGGATATCATAGAACAAACCA